CTTATAGAGTTAAATTGACTCATTTGGACAAATGCCCCTTAAGAATGGCTTTAGTTTTAACATATTGGTTTTGAAAAGTTGAGAACCACGGGGCAAGATAAATTCAAATTGGACTCTACTGGAATTGGGCACGTGTATCCAGGCTGCAACTAGCTTTTGGTCCTTTAAGAGCGAGCGGACAACTTTCCATGAGTGCGAGACCAGAGCCTGCAATAATGAAAAAACCCCATAGAAAGACCAAGGCGAAGACATATCTCTCATGATGTGTCCAAGCCTGTGCCAGCTATGGTGGGTGCCAGGCGACATGGTTAAATGAAAGCCCTGAGGGGATTCAACAGGATGTGTTACTGTACCACTATGCCGGTGTGGGACCACAGAAGAGCTAGCTTGGCACCTGAAAACACAAAAACGGTGGGGCTAAAAAAAGAGAAACTGCACTTTTTTTCCGGTCAGTAGTGGACCTTCCTGCTAAATGTAAAGCATACACCACTATTGAAAGTGTTTGAAAGAGCTAGGGTGCCACAAGTAATTTTATTCGTCCGTGTTGCTCCCTCTTTGCTGCCCACCCACCTCCTTTTCCATTAGAGCCTATTCCCACTCACAGGGCACCCCTACATTCACCGAGATTTAGGGTGCGGAGAAAAGATTTGCAAGTTCTTGCAGAACTTTAATGCAAATCTATCTCCGAATGGGGGACTGATACGGAAGGAGCAAGGGGGGGGTACCCATCCTTCCCCACCGCTTCCTGAAGGGGTCTGAGGTGATGGCCCCTGCAGTGCCCAGCCGGCCTCGAACCCTCAGCCCCCGCACCGTTGCATAGGCACCACACTGTACCCCTCCCTTGTAAATAAAAGGCTCTCTTTCCTGTCTTCATGCGGGCGGAATAAGCCCCATCTTTCCTATGCCTTTCTCTCGCCCTATTCCTAACGTGAGTCGACCGTATCATATTGTATCCCCATTCATAAAACGAGCCGCGCCTTAGCCAATCACAGCCGTGCATTCGTCCTGCAGGAGCTAGCTCAGGGAGCTCTTGCACGCCTCATTTAACCTCCTGACAAGCTACTGACGGCCCCCCAGGGCGAGAACAATGGAACCGAAACCCCGGACCTCGTAAAACTGTCAAATTCTGGATACAATGTATCCATTCTATTTCCGCTCTTGATCAACAGTACGGAATAGGTTGGAAATCATCGGAACCTTTGGAAATTGATATAAAATCAGCCGTAACTCCGATTTCCTCGCTCTCGGTGTCATTCAACTCAGCTCCCTTTGGACTCCATGATGTGACCCCTACCTCCATAATCCCCGAAGCGACAGGGCACGTACACAGGAACTTCTTAATCCTGTCAGATCGCTTCGCCTAACCCTTCCTCTGGGCAATATTAGGTGGCAGACGATGCATATCTCTGGCCCATTGTCTTGCCACCACCGGTACTCAATAAATGTTTACCTATGTATATCTCTCACTCTGCATATTCCCCCCTCCCTTATCTCAAATGTTAATTAATGTAACCCCACCTTTCCTTAATATATTCATGACGTGTGAAATATATTCATGATGTAACCCGTGAAACCCAACCTTCCCATAATGTATTCATGACATTTCGTGCACTGTATTCTGGGACACGGAGGGAACTTTTAAAAGTTTATGTCGCCCCATTCTCGGGGTTCAATCTCGTCTTGAACCTGTTGCGCAATAAACTCGGATCTCCGCATCTTGCTCCTGTTTCCGGCTGAGCTTATTTTCTCCGCTAGGACCCGCGGACTCTGTCCGACGAACCGGGTGTCAGGGCAACTCCGCACCTGGGATTTTTCCGTAACAGTTGCAAATCTTATTTGTTCTGCTGCTTTCCTGCTAGCACCCCCACGCATTTTGTGTCCTTTGGAATGGCTGCGTTCTGTCAGTGTAAGGATAATGTTTTATTTTGCTGGTGAAAGGTGATTTAATAGCGATCCTTTCCTCATCTAGGTGGCATGAGGTGGGTAGGACCACACTGTTACTTTTTAATGTGAAATATACTTTTGTTATCTAGCTAATATTCTTTGTTGTTGCTGTTGTTGTTTAGTCGTTTAGTCGTGTCCGACTCTTCGTGACCCCATGGACCAGAGCACGCCAGGCACCCCTGTCTTCCACTGCCTCCCGCAGCTTGGTCAGACTCATGTTTGTCGCTTCAAGAACACTGTCCAACCATCTCATCCTCTGCTGCCCCCTTCTCCTTGTGCCCTCAATCTTTCCCAACACCAGGGTCTTTTCCAGGGAGTCTTCTCTTCTCATGAGGTGGCCAAAGTATTGGAGCCTCAGCTTCATGATCTGTCCTTCCAGTGAGCACCCAGGGCTAATATTCTATTGACTTCTAAATATAAAATATAAATATAAATATAAAATGAACTCTGATCACCACAAGATGGTGCTGCACATTCTAGCTTGAATAATAAAATTACTATATCCTATATTTTACCATCTGATTATTAGATTTAACCATAACGTTTTCAGTGATAGTATATATACCAGCAAACTCTTTCTTTTGACATTTGTTAAGAAACTGATTAGGCAGCACAACTGTAAAGTTTTAACGTTTGAGTTTTTTACATGGAGGGTTCTCCACCCAACAGCTGTCTCTGTGTGACTCTAACATTTTCTAGTTGTCCTTAAATTATCTCACAAAATTTGTTTCAATTAATTATTGTTATTGTCGCTCTACTTTTCAGCCCTGAAAGGCCCCCACACCACCTTATAGATCGGTATAAACAATAAAGTCCTTGTCCACAGGCTAACAGTCTAAAAATATAGGAAGAATTTGCTGCAAGAGAGGTAGATGGAGATGAGATCAAAGCATCTACTGGGTGACCTTGGGTTAAGTACTCTGTCACCTCACAGGGTTGTTGTGAGAGCAAAACGGGGAGCAGAACCATGGCATTTATGCAGGGCCAGATTTAGGTTTGATGAGGCCCTAAGCTACTGAAGGTAATGGGGCCCTTTATATGTCCAGCTGTCCTTTGTCAACAACAAATTGTCGCTGTTTTTTGTGTTGAATATATGCTATATTTATGGACATAATAGGTAATCAGTCACACCAACAGGCTAAAGAACAGTTTCTATCCATGGGCTGTTAGGCTGCTGAACGGAAAATAATATAGTGCAACTGACGTTCGGGGTTGATGTGTTGTGTGACAAGTACAGAGTACAATGAGATTGAGTGTTTGGGGGGGGAAGGGAGGCTGGGTTAATTTCATTGTACATGGGTTGTACATTGACAATGAAGGTATTATTATTTATTTAAAGCCATTTGCACATAACAAAATATGTATTTTATAAAAGTAATTGTTGAACTGAAAGACAATTAAGAAAGTATATTAATAGTGAAATATAATTAAGAAGTATATTAATACAGTGATACCTCTGGATGTGAATGGGATCCGTTCCAGAGCCCCATTCGCATCCTGAAGTGAACGCAACCTGCGTCCGCGGGTCGCGATTCGCCACTTCCGCACATGCGCGTGACGTCATTTTGAGTGTCTGCGCATGCGCAAGTGGCAAAACCCAGAAGTAACGTGCTCCGTTACCTCTGGGTCGCCACGGAGCGCAACCCAAAAATACTTAAGCTGAAGCTACTTCAACCTGAGGTATGACTGTAGTGAAATAATTATTAAGCTCTAACTGTATGTAGGTTTTATTCTATTTGTTTTTTATCTCGTATTTTTGGAAATGTACATCCAGGTTTTTTTCCTTTAAATTTTTGGGGGCCCCCAAGAGAGTGGGGCCTTAAGCTATAGCTTGTTTAGCTTATACATGAATCCGGCACTGCATTTATGCCACGGTGAGCTCCTTGTAGCAAAGTCAAGATGCAAATGTCATAAAATATGGAGTGTTGTAAGAGAGAACCTGCTGCTGCTGCTGCTGCTTGCTCCAAAGTGCAGTGATCTGGACCTCACTTTAGCAAGCAAATGTTGCCATTGCTTTGCTATTTATGACGTTCCCTTGCATGGGCATTTTTGTTGTTGTTTAGTCGTTTAGTCGTGTCCAACTCTTCGTGACCCCATGGACCAGAGCACGCCAGGCACTCCTGTCTTCCACTGCCTCCCGCAGTTTGGTCAAACGCATGCTGGTAGCTTCGAGAACACTGTCCAACCATCTCGTCCTCTGCCGTCCCCTTCTCCTTGTGCCCTCCATCTTTCCCAACATCAGGGTCCTTTCCAGGGAGTCATCTCTTCTCATGAGGTGGCCAAAGTATTGGAGCCTCAGCTTCAGGATCTGTCCTTCCAGTGAGCTGATTTCCTTCAGAATGGATAGGTTTGATCTTGTTGCAGTCCATGGGACTCTCAAGAGTCTCCTCCAGCACCATAATTCAAAAGCATCAATTCTTCGGCGATCAGCCTTCTTTATGGTCCAGCTCTCACTTCCATACATCACAACTGGGAAAACCATAGCTTTAACTATACGGACCTTTGTCGGCAAGGTGATGTCTCTGCTTTTTATGCATGGGCATAGCCAGGATTTATGTTGGGGTGTGTGTGTGTGCGCAAGACACCCACCATCCTCTGTCTGGCTCTGTCTAGCAGATTCGGGATGAAATGTTTTAAATTATTTCCTTTTGACCCCAATTGCTCGGAACAATCTGTCAAATCTGTCAAAACCTTTCTACAATTTCTACTTTTATTTTTTATTTGTTTACTATATTTTGGGGGCGGCAGCTGCTCCCCCTCCCCCCGCCGCTACACCCTTGGTAAGGTAGGCGATGCTACCTCGTCAGTGCCCATCCAACATAAAATCAAACAAACACAAGATTGCGCGAAAGCAGACTTTGCAGAGGAAGAGGAACAAAGCTGGCATCTCCGAGCTCTTTCCTGTAACCAGCCGTCTCTTGCAGAGGAATCTGCAGAGCGATTCAAATCTCAGCGCGAAATGAATCCACGGAGCAACGCATTTCCCGGGAGGAGCGAGGGGAGGTGGAGCGCACGCAACAAATCCCACACCAACAGCAGTGCGAAAATAGTCACACACCAGTTTCCCGGAAGAGGCTCCCAGCAAAGCAGTAGCCTTCCAAAACTCACGAGGCGTTTGCAGTCTGGGAGGGACAGTCACAGAAAGAAAGAAAAAGTTCCTGTTGTTGCAAGTTTTAGGTTTCTTTTGCCTCCGCGCTTTACAGATTTTGGCGCAGTTGCTGTCTGGTCGGATGCTGCAATACTAGTATTGGTTAATAGCAAAATACCCTGAACCTGCTCTGCTAGCCGACCAGACTTGTTTCCAACATTGTAAGTAGACCACCAGTTAGTCTAGATACGGCTCTGTCTTAATTTTGGCGATTCGTGCGGCAGCCCTTTCCCCCCCAGCTTGGGTTTGCTGTATAACAGTGGCGTAGCGTGGGGGGTGCAGGGGGGGCCGGCCGCACCGGGCGCAACATCTGGGGGTTAGGGCTAGGGGGCGCAAATTACTTGCCTTGCCCCGGGTGCTGACAACCCACGCTACGCCACTGCTGTATAATTTTACCCGATCATACATGTTGCGATCAAATAAGATAGAAGTAGTGAAACAAAGAGGGACGCGGGTGGCGCTGTGGGTAAAACCTCAGTGCCTAGGACTTGCCGATCGCATGGTCGGCGGTTCGAATCCCCGCGGCGGGGTGAGCTCCCGTTGTTTGGTCCCAGCTCCTGCCAACCTAGCAGTTCGAAAGCACCCCCGGGTGCAAGTAGATAAATAGGGACCGCTTACCAGCGGGAAGGTAAACGGCGTTCCGTGTGCTGCGCTGGCTCGCCAGATGCAGCTTGTCACGCTGGCCACGTGACCCGGAAGTGTCTGTGGACAGCGCTGGCTCCCGGCCTATAGAGTGAGATGAGCGCACAACCCTAGAGTCTGGCAAGACTGGCCCGTACGGGCAGGGGTACCTTTACCTTTACCTTTTAGTGAAACAAAAGTCTCATTGTTTTCTTCCTTATACTGAAATCATTTTGAGCAAAATATGTTTTAAAAGTGAAAACAACGCAGTCAGTGCAATCCTGTACGAGTCTACTCAAAAAGTAAGGCACACATTGTTCAGTGGAGCCTATTCCCTTATATAGGGATTTAGTACAGGGCACTGAGATAAAAGGGTAATTGGTATCAAAAAAGAGAAAACAATCATTTGATTTCCACGAGAAAGAGCGAATCTGTGTTAAATGTGTGTGTGTGTGTGAGAGAGAGAGAGAGAGAGAATAAAAAGGTAAAGGGACCCCTGACCATTAGGTCCAGTCGTGACCGACTCTGGGGTTGCGGCGCTCATCTCGCTTTATTGGCCAAGGGTGCCGGCGTACAGCTTCCGGGTCATGTGGCCAGCATGACTAAGCCACTTCTGGCAAACCAGAGCAGTGTTTACCTTCTCGCTGGAGCGGTACCTATTTATCTACTTGCACTTTGACGTGCTTTCGAACTGCTAGGTTGGCAGGAGCTGGGACCGAGCAACGGGAGCTCACCCCATTGCGGGGATTCGAACCACCGACCTTCTGATCGGCAAGTCCTAGGTTCTGTGCTTTAACCCACAGCACCACCCACGTCCCGTGGGGGGAATACAGGCTGTCATTTTGATGTCAGTGGTGTCATGTGGTGCAGCAAAAAACATCCACAAGGAGCATCGACCCCATTTTTAAACAATCGTCTGGAAGCATCTAGATTGCAACCTAAATTTGGCATTTCAACTATAACAATGTGGAGAATTTCATAACACACCTGCACCTGGTCAAGATGGGCTTGCTAGGCAGAATTGCATGGTGCAGATCGTAATTTATGACAGTGTTACTTACACATGTCCATGTCTGTATATGTACTCTCCAGAAGGGGCGTCCAATTTTAGCTTCCCAATGCACAGAGAGACAGGGATTTAAAGCCACATAGCAGTGTTTTCCCAACCTTAGGTCTCTGGCTGTTTCTGGACTACAATTCCCATCATCCCTGACCACTGGGCTTACTAGGTAGGGATGATGGGAGTTGTAGTCCAAAAACAGCCAGAGACCTACGTGGCGGTGTCATATGCTATGATTTGCATCCACAAGATTTGTGTGAATGTCAGCATGGAAACAAATGCTTTCATGTAGGGATTTTGTCCTGGGCTAAGGGATATCGTGAAGTGACTGGAAGCAGTTTCCTCCTGTTGAGAGAGAAGGAACACTTTGACATCACCATTGGAGAATGCTACCGGTACCTTGCCTGTTCTGTTGGAATTAAGGAGTATCCTTTTATTACAGGGGCGAAAATGACTTCTGGCAGAACTGGCTTGCGTCTGGCTGCTTGTTTGCTAAACATTTCAGAAGGAAGAAGAAAGGACATTGTTGAGAAAGTAGCAAGAGCTGCGGTTTGTGAGGATAATGGTAAGAATAATGTGGATCTACTCCAAATATGGGACACGGGTGGCGCTGTGGGTTAAACCACAGAGCCTAGGACTGGCCGATCAGAAGGTTGGCGGTTCGAATCCCTGCGATGGGGTGAGCTCCCGTTGCTCGGTCCCTGCTCCTGCCAACCTAGCAGGTCGAAAGCACGTCAAAGTGCAAGTAGATAAATAGGTATCAATCCGGCAGGAAGGTAAATGGTGTTTCCGTGCGCTGCTCTAATTCTAGGCAGCCCCATGTAGAGTGAGTTACAATAATCCAGTCTGGAGGTGACCATTGCGTGGATCACAGTGGCTAGGTCAGGGTGAGAGAGGTAAGGAGCCAACTGCTTAGCGTGGCAGAGATGAAAAAATGCCGCCTTTGTTATAGCTGCAATCTGCGCCTACATGGAAAGGGATGTGTCAAAGATTACACCCAAACTCTTAACAGATGGTGCTGGCACTAATTGCGCCACTAATGGGGGGGGGTTGCCCCCCCCAATAAGTTGGTCATGTCAAAGCCTCTTTCTCCATTGTACCAGAAGCACAGCTTAGCTGCTTGGAGCATGGTACTGATAATGCCAAGGTTGCAGGTTCGATCCCTGTATGGGACAATTACACATTTCTGCATTGCAGGGGGTGGACTAGATGAGCCTCAGGGTCCCTTTCAACTCTACAATTCTATGATTATGATCAATGCAAGTGTGTTATTTATTTATTTATTATGATTTTCCATTGAAGGGTTGTTTAACTGGGGGAGATCAAAATAATTTTTAAAACCTTCCTTATACCATGTCCGACTTATCTGTCCATTTCGTCCAGCATTATCTGTTCTCGCTATCAGTGGCTCCCTAGGGTCTCAGTCTTTCCCATTACCTGCTACTTCAGGGTTGTTGATTCGGTAAGAAAATTGCACTTTGCACATTCTCAGAGGCACTTGCCTGTACGTATTCCAATATTAGCCGTGGTCCTGGAAACGGATGGTGTATCTAAGCCCCCTGGCACAAATGAAGCTTTGATTAGAAAACATTAGTTGAGCTTTCAAGCTTGAGCTTTCCGTTCTCACCAACCCAACCAAACATTGACGTTGAGGCTCGTGAAGCTCTGAAGCCGTATGTTGGGTGTGTGTGAAGTATGTATAGAAAGTCCTGCCTCGGGGCAGGAGCTGAGACTTAAAGACACTCTTGAGTCCCTTCCAGCCCTCTGGATTTTATAATAGCTATGGTTTGGTCAGCCACGCATTTCTGAAGTCCTCCCAAATGGCAGCCTTTGTGAAGTTTTTGGATATAGTTTGCATGAGCTGAGTTTGCACAAAAGAAGCCCATTGATCTGTTAATCACTGACTAACACATTCTAAAACTTCGGGGTGGCGTTTTTGTTTGTGTACTTGTAAGAGTTTTTTTTTATCCTGGCATCTCTTTCAGGCTAAGTCTGAAATTCATTGTGTGAACAAACTTAGGGCAAACAGATGCAGAAGAGGACCAGCCCTCACCCGTTAATGAAGTTGCCAAGAATTGGGAATTTCAGCCAGTATGGTTTTCATAATGACAAGCCCTGGATTGTGTTGCCTATCTGTACTCTCTCAGACCGGGGTGGGGAACCTGTTGCCCCCCACATGTTGTTGTTTAGTCATTTAGTCGTGTCCGACTCTTCATGACCCCACGGACCAGAGCATGCCAGGCACTCCTGTCTTCCACTGCCTCCCGCAGTTTGGTCAAACTCATGCTGGTAGCTTCGAGAACGCTGTCCAACCATCTCGTCCTCTGTCATCCCCTTCTCCTTGTGCCCTCCATCTTTCCCAACATCAGGCTCTTTTCCAGGGAGTCTTCTCTTCTCATGAGGTGGCCAAAGTATTGGAGTCTCAGCTTCAGGATTTATCCTTCCAGTGAGCACTCAGGGCTGATTTCCTTAAGAATGGATAGCTAGACTACAATTCCCATCATCTCTGGCCACTGGTCATACTGACTGTAGCTGATGGGAGCAATAGCTTTAAGGCCACAGATTGCATTGAGCAAAACTGTTCAATATTTTTCTAATCTATCATGCTTGCACCGATGTATGCTCCATTTAGCTTGCTAGAACTTATTTTGCAATTAATGGATTTAGGATCAGAATGTACCTCTTCAAAACATAGCATGTGCTTAAGCTAAATTGGAAGCCTTTATTTGTTGTCTGAACCACAAGAAATGTTCCATTTTTTCCTTCCCTGTAGGCCAGGAGCATCTCCCAGCAACTGTGCTTAATATATTTTCTGACTATGACTATAACAGGTCCGTCATAACTATTGCAGCTCCAGTTGACAGACTGGGTAAGTTTTAAAAATATGTATTAAAATGTCCCAGCTCATATTATTATTATTATTATTGGCCTTTGAATGTTGTGTTTTTCAATGCAAAGTTTGCAGTTGTATACATGTTTGCCCGAGAGTAAAACAGTACATTTTAAAACGCATTGCTTCTCTCAGAAAACATGCTCTGGTGTTTAGCTTCCTTGATAAATGAGGACTTTAAAAAAATCCTCAGCTGAAAAATTATATAAATAACAAGTGCCAACACAAAGGCACATATTTCCAAAAAAAGGTTACGTTTTAATCCCCTTGGTGAATGGTTGCACGTGAATCACAAACACAGAAAATTATGGTGTGACTGATTGTTTGTGACAAGAAGCTCTTGTCTGGAAGCCCTCTTAACAGTTTTTGAAAATAAATAACATTCAGCTAGATTTGAGAGGGATGTGTTGTGTAGAATTTCCCTTCAACACTGGTTTACAAGAGCCAGTTCCCCAATTAACATCACACTCCTAACCATGTCTACTCAGAATTAAATTCTATTGAATTCAATGGGAACTTATTCCCAGGTAATTTGTGTTTGGACTGCAGCAAAGCTTACTTTTGAATTCAGGCTTCTGTGATGGAGGAGGAGCAGAATAAAATATTCTTTCTTATCTTTTCTGCTAAGGACGTTCTGTAGGGATGTTTACAAAGCGAATCAAAAGCAGTCTTGTCAGACAAAGTTAGCAGGAGGATGTCAGGTGGCCATAATTAACACTGTTGTGTTCAGCACTTCACTAAAAAATACACCCTTGTAGATTGTGATTCAATAGCAAACCCTCCAAGATACCAAGTGGGCTATTTTGTTAGTATATTTTTAAAGTGTGTTTGTTGCATATAATAAGAACCCTGCTTCAAGGTGGGTAGATTTGTAAGAGTCGTAAGAGCTTCACATTTCTCCCAAAATTAGTGCTTTGTGTAAATGAGAAAGAGGAGTTACCTTATCCCTGTCACTAGAAACAGTCGCAAGGGGCTGCGGGGAGTTTGTCTATGTTTTTTCTTTGTGTGTGAATGTTTTTAATTAAAACATATTGGGGGCAAGAGTGGCTAAGATTTAGTTTTCCTTTTCAGATTTAGTTAATAATGGGTTTGATAAAGTTTCTTTCGCCCTCTTTGTGTTTTGTTAGGCAGGTCTGTCGTTGCTGCCTGTGTGGAGGCTTTTGCTTCAATAGATATGGCGGAACATTCTGGAATCCACCCTTGCCTTGGCGCAGTAGACCTGGTGCCCATTTACCCGTTGTCGGGTGTCGATGTGGAAGAGTGCGGAACAGTGGCTCGAAGTAAGCAGAACCTGAACATCCAGCACAGGCGGGGGTAGTCAGTGTCGTGACCTCAATAATGTGGTTGGTTGGACTCCAACTCCCATCATCCCCAGCCAGCATGGCCTTTGGTCAGGGATGATGAGAGTTGTAGTCTAGCAACACCTGGAGGGCCCCAGCTTGGCTGCACAAGATCTGACCCGAGGATCCTTAATGTAGTCACCGATTCATGTTGGATTGTTCTTCTGTCAAAGCAGAGGCATCTAAATTAACTGGGGTAACTGTGCCCCTGAAGGACCAGGTGCGCAGCCTGGGAGTCATTTTGGACTCACAGCTGTCCATGGAGGCGCAGGTTAATTCTGTGTCCAGGGCAGCTGTCTACCAGCTCCACCTGGTGCGCAGGCTGAGACCCTACCTGCTCGCGGACTGTCTCGCCAGAGTGGTGCATGCTCTAGTTATCTCCCGCTTGGACTACTGCAATGCGCTCTACGTGGGGCTACCTTTGAAGGTGACCCGGAAACTGCAATTAATCCAGAATGCGGCAGCTAGACTGGTGACTGAGAGTGGCCGCCAGGATCACATAACACCGGTCCTGAGAGATCTGCATTGGCTCCCAGTACGTTTCCGAGCACAATTCAAAGTGTTGGTGCTGACCTTTAAAGCCGTAAATGGCCTCGGTCCTGTATACCTGAAGGAGCGTCTCCACCCCATCGTTCAGCCCGTACACTGAGGTCCAGCTCCGAGGGCCTTCTGGCGGTTCCCTCATTGCGAGAAGTGAGGTTACAGGGAACCAGACAGAGGGCCGTCTTGGTAGTGGTTCCCGCCCTGTGGAATGCCCTCCCTTCAGATGTCAAGGAAATAAGCAGCTATCTTCTCTTTAAAAGACATCTGAAGACAGCCCTGTTTAGGGAAGTTTTTAATATTTAATGCTGTATTGTTTTTAACACTTGATTGGAAGCCGCCCAGAGTGGCTGGGGAAACTCAGCCAGATGGGCGGGGTATAAATAATTTATTAATTATTATTATTATTATTATTTGGGGTAGGGCGAGGTGGCACTCTGCAAATGTTCTTGGGATTCAAACTCCCACCAACTCTGGCCAGCATGCCCCACACTTGAGGACAGGGGCATCGTCAGTGGTGATGGGAACTGAAGTCTAACAACAAGTGGAGGGGACGGCGTTGGCTAACCCCATTCTGAACCATTTAGTGCAGCTGTTTAATGTATACTCCAAAGCCTGGTTGTACACTTTGCAACTGGAATGACAGCACAGCATTTTAGATAACCAATTGCCACCTTGCTCACATATTCACACTTTCTCAGATCTGTTGCCTGCTTGTGTGTTTGTTTAACACATTAATACCCCACCCTTCGCAAGAAACACCAGGGAGGTTCACAGCAGTACAAATATATGTATATATATGTTAAAAACAGTGTGTTAAAATACAGCCATCACAGTAAAAGCAGCCAATTCTACTAAAAGCTCTGCATTAATAACTAGCATATGCCTGGGTGCATTAGAAATGTTCTTAGCATGCATCAAATCATGTAACAAAGGCAGCACTTGAAGGGAGATGAGGGTGCCCACATACTGGGTAAAAAGGTAAAGGGACCCCTGACCATGAGGTCCAGTCGCGACTGACTCTGGGGTTGCGGCACTCATCTTGCTTTATTGGCCGAGGGAGCCGGCATACAGTTTCCGAGTCATGTGGCCAGCATGACTAAGCCGCTTCTGGCAAACCAGAGCAGCGCACGGAAACACCGTTTACCTTCCCGCCGGAGTGGTACCTATTTATCTACTTGCACTTTGACGTGCTTTCGAACTGCTAGGTTGGCAGGAGCAGGGACCGAGCAACGGGAGCTCACCCCATCGCCGGGATTCGAACTGCCGACCTTCTGATCGGCAAGTCCTAGGCTCTGTGGTTTAACCCACAGCGCCACCTGCGTCCCTCACATACTGGGTGCCATAATGGAAAAGGCTTTTCCTCTGAGTGTTTGTTTGTTTTCTATACCGCCCTTCATCCAAGGATCACAGGGAGGTTTACGAAAGAGCAACACAAAATTACATACCATGATAACAAACAAAAACAGCAACCCCATGTTTAAAGGTGCTGTTTAAAAGGCCATTGATCGTTTCATTAGCTAAAGTCCTGGAAGAAGAGGAATGTTTTTGCCTGGCGCCTAAGGATACGTAACAAAGACACCGGGCGACCCTCTTTTTTTGCAAGATAGACTTCAGCAGGCCACCAGCTAGGCTGCCATCTTCTTCCAGGTACCCAGGTCTCAGGTTGTTTAGGGTTTCTTAGGTTGACACGAGAACCTTGAACTTGGCTTGGGGGCAAATTTGTAGCCACTGCAGTTCTTTCCAAAGTAGCATTATATGTATAGAGTAGGCAGCCCCAGTCTACAGCCTAGCTGCTCTCTTAGTCTTTCTTGTTGTGTTTCTTCTAACTCGGGGTCACCAGCATGGTGCCCATATGCCTGACACTGCATCTTCTGGTTGTGGCGTTTGCCTCCTAGGTGGGCCAAGGAAAGGGTTAAGTGAGTGTGATGTGATTGGCCAGTGGGAACTGAGGGGAGGAGTTAGAGTGAGAGGTAGAGTTGTGTGGAAGTCAGTTGAGAGTTGGGAGTTGGAGAAGGAAGAGGGAGGATAAGTCTGTGGGTTGGTCGAGTTGTGTTGTGAGAGAGTGAGAGGAACTGTTAGGTGGAGTCAGATAGATAGTTGGAATAATCAGTTTGAAGTTGTTAGGAACGTATAGGACAGTAAAAAAACTAAGATTAAGAAACTGACAAGAAAAATTAACTGAAACCACAAACTTGTTCATGCTTATAAAAATAAACTTGATTATTTGTTAATGTTAACAACTGTCTGGGCTCCGTGTGTACCCAAGAGAAACGGGTTGGTGGCAGCGAAGAAAGCAATCACAGTGGTGGCACAGGGATCAATAGACCGTCAAACGTCCAGGGACCCTGTGTGATCGCCACACTGGTGCTCAAGAAAAATGCCAGTAATGATTCCCTCTAAAACCCACAATGCGCAACAGACTCTTTGCTTTTCCTGCTCAGTTTTTGTTGGCACTGACAAGGGCTTCTACTACATTGAACACTCCTCCTCAAACCTGCCCACGTTTCGTTGGAGGCCAGGATTGGACAATCATCTCTGCCTCTTCCATTCTGAACAGAGGAGAGGTGCTTCCCTGCCCCTGTCCGCTAGTGTGGGACATGCCCAGACCTGTTCGTCCTGTCTCTTTTTTTTAATAGATGTAGCATCCGTTTTGTGCTACACTACATCCCCTTGACCGCCATTTTGTGTTCCGTCATGTTCCCATGGCGGCCATTTTGTGATTGCACCCATACCACTCCTTCAAAATTCCAGAGTACTCACCCCCAAAGGCTGCCACCCCTGTTCTAGCTGTTGTACTTCCCTTCTGTTCCTCTCTTCCCTCAGATATAGCAGAGACCCTGGTCTGCCGTGTTCCTGGATGCAGCATATTTCTTTTTGGGCAAGCTCATCTCCCAGAGAAGCAAAGTCTGGTTCAAAGAAGAAAACAACTGGGATGGTTTAACCGCAGAGCTTTTAATGCAGTCACTGTTATCCCTGATATAGGACTGTCGCCTACCTTAAGACATGGTTTAACAGGTATGACATGATGGCAATGCTCATTGTTGCTGTTTTTGTCATGGGTACAAGGCAATCAATGTCTCTAGGAGTTCACAGAGGAATATAGCCCACTCCCCAGTGGTCTGTACCCCAAGGAGCTTACATATAAATATTGAGAATGGGAGAGAATGCAGATAAGAGACAGGTGAGTGTCATAGCTGTCAACTGTCCCTTATTTGGCGGGAAAGTGCCTTACCCTAGCGCCGTGTCCCGCTGCTGTCCCTTATTGATGATGTCCCTTAAATTTCCCGGGTTTCAAAGGAAGCAGCTCCTCTCCCTCCCTGCCGGCCAGGGAGGAGGGAGGCTCCAACTGTGTTGCTTGGCTGCGTTGCTCACCCAATAAGGAGTCTAAGAACGACTGGGGGGTGGAGCTTGCATGCCTTGTGCCGATCAAATCGGCCGCATTGCCTGGGGACTCGCCTTTGCTCAGTGCTTCCCAGCGGAGAGGTGCCGGTGGTTTCCCTTGCTGCATCCCCTTTGCCGGGTTGCTGCGCTGTGGGAAGCACTGCTCAAGGCTTCGTTTTGCTGCTGGCTGGGCTTTCTGCCTTTGGCTTGGAGGGGCTCAGAAGTTGAACATACCTGTGCTCTGAAAATCCCTTATTTTGGCTGCTGATCCCTTATTTTTGAGGCTGCTGGCCCCTTATTTTCAAATCTGTAAGTTGACAGCTATGGTGAGTGTACCAAAAATTGAGAGAGGGAAGATAGGAAGACTAATAAGGGATTAAAGTTGCATAGGCTTGCTGCCCTGTCTTTGCTTACTTGGAGCGTCACAGAGTTCATTAGAACTTATTCCCAAGCCAATTGCAGTTGTGGGACTGAAGGCTTAGGCTTTTGAGATGGGGATGGGGAATAAAGTGTCATTCAAAAGGACTGGGGAGAGGACGACTTCTGGGGGTATTGAGGAAGAGAGAGCACCAAGAAGCAACAGGAAATGCATAGAGTTATTTAAGAGCAGAAGACCTCGAGGCAGCTGGCAGCTTTTTGCTCTTAATTTGATGTAGGCTGTGATAAATAATAATAATAATAATAATAATAATAATAATAATAATAATAAAATTTTATATATCCCGCCCTCCCCAGCCGAAAGCCGGGCTCAGAGCGGCTAACAACAGTAAAATAATACAGCATTGTAAAATCAATTTATTATAAAATCAGTTCAGATCAAATTAATGGCAACCATTAATGGTCACAAATCAATTAATCTATTCCAGTGTAAGCAATATTTTGTGTTGTATCCCTTCGGGTAACTCCAGAACCTTCTTGAAGTCTACAAAGGTTTTGGCTTCCCCACGCAGGCTATTTTTTGAAAAATAAACCAATAAATGATTGTCTCTTAAAACAGGGGTGGAGGAACTGTGACCCCTAGAGATGTTGTTGGACTCCAACTCCCATCATCAATAACCATGGGCTGTCTTCACTGGGTACTGATGGGAACTGGAATCCAACAGCATTTGGACGGCCAAGGTTTCCCCATCCCTGTCTTATAAGATGCATTGCGAGTGTTGTTTATCTTAAGTCCCTGTGTAAAGATGTGAGACCTGGAAGGGCATTACCAAACAGGGCAACAACTACAAAAATCCCAGAATTCCTGGAGTGGCTAAAGAACTCTCTTTTGGGCTCTGCTGCATTTTGTTGTTGTTGTTTAGTCGTTTAGTCGTGTCCGACTCTTCGTGACCCCATGGACCAGAGCACGCCACACACTTCTGTCTTCCACTGCCTCCCGCAGTTTGGTCAAACTCATGCTGGTAGCTTTGAGAACACTGTCCAACCATCTCGTCCTCTGTCGTCCCCTTCTCCTTGTGCCCTCCATCTTTCCCAACATCAGGGTCTTTTCCAGGGAGTCTTCTCCTCTCATGAGGTGGCCAAAGTATTGGAGCCTCAGCTTCACGATCTGTCCTTCCAGTGAGCACTCAGGGCTGATTTCTTTAAGAATGGATCGGTTTGATCTTCTTGCAGTCCATGGGACTCTCAAGAGTCTCCTCCAGCACCAGAATTCAAAAGCATCAATTCTTCGGCGATCAGCCTTCTTTATGGTCCAGCTCTCACTTCCATACATCACTACTGGGAAAACCATAGCTTTAACTATACGGACCTTTGTTGGCAAGGTGATGTCTCTGCTTTTTAAGATGCTGTCTAGGTTTGTCATTGCTTTTCTCCCAAGAAGCAGGCGTCTTTTAATTTCGTGGCTGCTGTCACCATCTGCAGTGATCATGGAACCCAAGAAAGTAAAATCTCTCACTGCCTCCATTTCTTCATCTTCTATTTGCCAGGAGGTGATGGGACCAGTGGCCATGATCTTTGTTTTTTTGATGTTGAGCTTCAAACCATATTTTGCGCTCTCCTCTTTCACCCTCATTAACAACATTAATTGTCAGCAATAATAGGGGGTTAAATCACCTGACTTCTCAGTTTCCATGTGAGTTTACAATTGGTCATCATGCGGTCAATAGCAGTCAATTATAGCTGTTCTTGAGCATTTGCGTACCATTGATTTCTTTTCTTTTTTTAAGCCGCACGATATCAATTGGGATTGTTTCGTACCCTGGATTGTCCCCAGTAAACTATTTCAAATGTTTTGAAAGGAGGACTGATGAGGCATTGCTACAATCCATTGAAGAGAATTGGTTAAATATTTAATATAGAATGGGGGGGTAGATATCAAGAGAATAACAGTAATTATTCTCCTATTGACCCACTTAGAATTAACCTACTTAAAAAACGCTCTGCATAAAACAAAGCTCCTTATGTACTTTGATTGAATAATCCATTATTTTTTTAAAAAAAATCCTGTTTCTTCAGACGTCATTCTGCCGCAAGAATCCTTAAACCAGTTATTATTGCCAGCGCTGTCACACACATACTGCATTTGCGTTTGTGAGAAAGGAACACACACCAGATGTTAATTAGTGCATTTGTTTTTATTTTGCCTCTACCTCAACAATTTGGCCTTGAGGGTTTGTGTTCTTTTTTTTTTTTGCTGTAAAGATCTTTGTTTCTATCCAGGCTCTGGCTCATAAACTACAAAGACAATGAGTCAGAACTCCAAGGAGGAAAGGAAAAGAAAAGACCTCGGAGAAATATTAAACTTTCACACTCTTTTTTTCATCATGAACAATTTGCAATGATGATTTATCCCAGGTGGAGTTTCTCCCCTTCCTTCTTTCACGTTGCTTACGAAGAGGCAGATATAAAACTGCTTTTCACTGGGGAATAGGTCTTGAGTGCAGTACCTTTGATTTATTTACTAGATTCACCACTGGCTGACTTCGATTTGCACCGAGGTAGCTCAGTACTCAGTGTGAGAAACAGACTTTGCTCTGCAGCTTCCCTTCTCCTGGAATGCCCTTCCAGAGCATTTATGTAAAAGCTTGGGAACTGTGGGCCTGAGGGGCGGCATATGCCCTCCTCCAGACCTTTATTTGGAGTCCTGGGAAGTCTCTCTAGGCCATAAAACTCACCAGGCCTGCTTTGGACTCTCCTTGGGTCTTCTGGATCCAACTACAGTCATACTTTGGTTGCCGAATGCCTTGGAACTCGTACGCTCAAAAGCCAGAAGTGGGTGTTTCAGTTTCCAAACGATTTTCGGAAGCCGAACGTCCGGGGCGGCTTCTGCGGCTTCCGATTGGCTGCAGGACGCTCCTGCAGCCAATCGGAAGCCGTGTCTTGGTTTTTGAGCGGTTCCGGGGGTTGAATGGACTCCTGGAACGCATTCTGTTCGAGAACCAAGGTACGACTGTACTACCCTCTTTTGATAAAGAATACTGATTATTGCCTGGTGTATAAGTGAAGGATTAGCCAAAGTGCTTTCCCGAGACTTAGAAATTACTTGACCGTATCTGAAGAGTAGATGCAGAAGCCAAACCAACCTAACAACCTGTGCTGGTCCCGAGGGTTAACCATGCGGTAAGGTTTGAGTCCAGTCCAAGGTCGAGGGTGCGGTATGGAGGCTGTCCGTCAAAGCTGAAGCTGGGTCCAAGGCAGAGAGTCGTGTGAGGTCAGGAGCTCCGGCAGAAGAGCAGGACAGGGTGCAGGCAGGAACAGGTTACCAACAATGTTGCTACGGCAACTTGGGACTGGGGCTAGCTGGCTTTTATCTGCCCCGAGGCATAGAGCAGGTGACTCGCCTCTCCTGGCCTGGAGGCGAGCACTCCTCCTGCAGGAACTTAGTTCCCTCCGCCTCTCTGCCCTGAGCCTCTGCAGCTCAGGAGAGGCTGGAGGGTTACCGGACCCAGAGGCAACCTCAGCTTCCCCTGACAGGGCTGAGAGTGGAACACCTGCAGGCAATGGGTCCTCCATCACCTCAGGAGCCAGAGCAGACTCAGCTGGTGCCTGCACCTGAGGATCCAGCACAGGTGAGGACCCTTCAGGCTCAAGCCCCAGCCCCGGCTCAGCTGGTTCTGGAGGCGGGGACTCCTGTGCAGGCTGGGATTCCTCAGGTTCAGCCTCCGAGTCCGAATCCCAGGCCATCACACAACCATTAATTTTGACTTGCACTGCTGGCTTATTTTCTGATCATTTCAGGGGTTGGGGCCAGCCCTTACGTGATGAATTGCAACGTGACAGTCGACACACAAGACTTGACTACGGCCAAGGCGATCGCAGGCTCCGTCCGGGGCAGTAGTGCCGGAGGCCTGAAGGGCGTGCAGTCGATGGCTTTCCCACACAACGGGCAAATCGAAATAGCGTGCAACGTGGAAAGCTTTGACGACCATGACACCAGCTGGGCCACTGGCGACAAATCGGGATATGTTTCCTACAGCATTCTCGGGAGAACGTATCACTACGTGTCGCCTTGGCTGATCGAGGCGTCCATTAAGAAGTCAGCCAGGGACCGTGGCGTAAGCACTGTTGGGAGAGCACTGGTTGGGTTTACACCAGAGGAATGCGCACGTTGCGCTGCCTACGCATTGACAAGCAGTGTCCATGAATTCTGGAGGATGCGGGGCGGCGTTTTCATGTGATAGCCTTGCTGTTTGCTGGCTTTAAATCGGGGTGGAGAACCTCAGATCTGGGAGTCACACCCTCTCCCCAGACAGATTCTTGCCCCACTTAGTGATCCTCAAATGTTTTTGCCTGGCTGGAGCACATCATTGAACTCTGACCCTGCCTCTGGCTTGACTGTAGGGAGGAAGGAAAGGGTTGTGTCAGATTGTGTGGGAATTAGCCTACTGTACAAAGGTAAAAAGGGACGCGGGTGGCGCTGTGGGTTAAACCACAGAGCCTAGGACTTGCTGATCAGAAGGTCGGCGGTTCGAATCCCTGTGACGGGGTGAGCTCCCGTTGCTCAGTCCCTGCTCCTGCCAACCTAGCAGTTCGAAAGCACGTCAAAGTGCAAGTAGATAAATAGGTACCGCTCCGGCGGGAAGGTAAACGGTGTTTCCGTGCGCTGCTCTGGTTCACCAGAAGCAGTTTAGTCATGCTGGCCATATGACCCGGAAGCTGTATGCCGGCTCCCTCAGCCAATAAAGTGAGATGAGCGCCACAACCCCAGAGTCGGTCAGGGGTCCCTTTACCTTTAAAAAGGTAAAAAATTACACTAATTGCTTTGCCCAGTTTTACCTCTGTCGCTGCCCACCCCTGTTATGAAACTCCCAGAAACCTGCCGTCGGGCTGAAAAACCGTTCCTGATCACTGTTTAAAATTCTTCTCCTTGCTAATTCCAAGGCAACCTTTGGGAGCCAGGAGACTAATGTATCCTGGCAAGGTAGAAAGAAATTGAAATACTTTATTGTCACTTGTACAACTTGTATACTGTGAGATTACACGAGCACCCCCCACTCTTAGTCTTAATTCCCCTCATTTACTGACACACAGAGACCAAACCCGAAAGTCAGCTGCCCTGTTGTTATTTTTTCATTCAGCAGCCCACGGATAGAAGCTGTTCTTTACCCTGTTGGTGCGACTAATCATGCTTCTATATCTTCTGCCCGAGGGCGGGAGATCCAGAAAGTGCCGGCCAGGGTGTGAATCACCCCTGAGAATTTTCCTCACTCTCCTGAGGCAACGTTCTTCCACGATGTCATCCAGCGGATTCACGGTACAGCCCATAATATCTTGTGCTGTATTCACCACCCTCTGTAGGCACTTCCTATCAGTGTACCACACCGTGATGCAGTATGAAAGGACACTTTATATGTGCATTTATGTAGAGTGTATCCAACCAACACTTTGCTCAGAATTAGGACATCCTGGATTAGGCCAGAAGTTCATCCTTTTTTCACAGTGGCGAACCAGATGCCTATGGGAAGTCTGTAAGCAGGCCTGAATGCAACAGTCCTCATTTGTGATTTCCAGAGACTGGTGTTCCAAGGCGTACGACCTCCGAGAGTGTTACCTACTGAGCTTGGATCCTAGAACAATAGGCAGGTAGGATCCTAGAAGGCAACAACCTGATTGGTCTGCAGGAGCAGCCCAATCAGGCTCCAGGAGGAGGTGAATCAGCAACCTGATTGGCCTGTAGGAACAGTCCAATCAGGCTTCAGGAGGGGAGTTGAATCAGCCAATCACATGGGACCCATTGTGTAAATAATGTATATATAGCCAGAGGTTTTTGGGGAAAGCACTCATTCACTGTTTGCCATGAGCTGAAATAAAGAGCATGAAATCAACACTCCGAGTATATTTCAGAGACACTAGGAAAAGCAGAAAAACACATAAGTATGTGCTTTGGAAAGTTGCCCCAAAACCTAGCTAGTGGTTCCAGCACAATCACAAGTTCTTGATTCTCCAGGAGCAATGGGTGGCAAAGGGATGGACTCCAGAGAGTCTTGGTTGGAACCTCAAGGGGCTAGATGGGGAGGCTTCACAGACTAGAACTGGCCATAGGGCGGCAGTTCCCTCACCCCTGTCCTAGAGCCTCACTCCTCCCTTTCTTCTTGTGCCTCATCCGTGCCAAAGAGGCTGCACGGGAGCAGCAAATATTGTAGCCAGCTTGATGCCCTCCACATTTCATTGTACCACAGCTCCCATCATCCCTGACCACATTGGCTGGAGCTGATGCAATCTGGACTCCCGACGACAACTGAAGCACCAAAGTATCTCCCTGGAGTTTAATCTTGGTTTATCACGTCCCCCTTGGGAGGCTGTTGCGTTTGACAGCGATAAAAACCAAGAGCAAGCAAGAATCCCTGCTGTGATTATTGGGGGAAATGGCTCTTGCTTCCATGATGCCCTCTTTAGGGTGCTTCCCTTTAGAGCTTGTTGTTGTTAAGTCGTTTAGTCGTGTCCGACTCTTCGTGACCCCATGGACCAGAGCACGCCAGGCACTCGTGTCTTGCTTGCACTGCCTCCTGCAGTTTGGTCAAACTCATGCTGGTAGCTTCGAGAACACTATCCAACCATCTCGTCCTCTGTCGTCCCCTTCTCCTTGTGCCCTCCATCTTTCCCAACATCAGGGTCTTTTCCAGGAAGTCTTCTCTTCTCATGAGGTGGCCAAAGTATTGGAGTCTCAGCTTCAGGATCTGTCCTTCCAGTGAGCAGTCAGGGCTGATTTCCTTAAGAATGGATAGGTTTGATCTTCTTGCAGTCCATGGGACTCTCAAGAGTCTCCTCCAGTACCAGAATTCAAAAGCATCAATTCTTTGGCGATCAGCCTTCTTTATGGTCCAGCTCTCACTTCCATACATCACTACTGGGAAAACCATAGCTTTAACTATACGGACCTTTGTTGGCAAGGTGATGTCTCTGCTTTTTAAGATGCTGTCTAGGTTTGTCATTGCTTTTCTCCCAAGGAGCAGGCGTCTTTTAATTTCGTGACTGCTGTCACCATCTGCAGTGATCATGGAGCCCAAGAAAGTAAAATCTCTCACTGCCTCCATTTCTTCTCCTTCTATTTGCCAGGAGGTGATGGAACCAGTGGCCATGATCTTCGTTTTTTCCGGTTTTTTTTAGAGCTACCTATCATCCAATAATAGAAGATTTTCCTTTGCATTTCAGAAGCTATTTAAGGCAGTGGCTGTAATGTGAACCGGCAAACCCCACAAATTACCTATTTGATGTGTGCAAAATTGACTATTACTGCAAGATGTGGCGGTGACTCGGAGGCGTTTGACGTATTCCGGGAGGATAACAAGGCTAAACGTGGAAGCAATTGCCTGTTCTCTGCACTTTCGATTTTGCATCGTCTCCACCAGAGGGCAGCAATTGCAAATCCTCCCTTTAAAACGACAGTTTTTGCTATTTCGCTTTCCTCTTGTTTTGCCATCCAGCGGCTAAGGGGAGGACTGCTCAGCAAGGAAAGTTTTATAGTGCACGTGCTCAAGGATGAGCTATTGAAATGCAAATGTTATTATGCAGTTTCCAGTCTTGGTGTCTGGTAGTGGCTGCCGTTCATTAAAAAGGAAAAAGCGAGTCAAAACGACCTTGACAGATTAGAGAACTGGGCCAAAACAAACAAGATGAACTTTAACAGGGAGAAATGTAAAGTATTGCACTTGGGCAAAAAAAATGAGAGGCACAAATACAAGATGGGGGACACCTGGCTTGAGAGCAGTACATGTGAAAAGGATCTAGGAGTCTTGGTTGACCACAAACTTGACATGAGCCAACAGTGTGACGCGGCAGCTAAAAAAGCCAATGCAATTCTGGGCTGCATCAATAGGAGTATAGCATCTAGATCAAGGGAAGTAATAGTGCCACTGTATTCTGCTCTGGTCAGACCTCACCTGGAGTACTGTGTCCAGTTCTGGGCACCACAGTTCAAGGAGGACACTGACAAACTGGAACGTGTCCAGAGGAGGGCAACCAAAATGGTCAAAGGCCTGGAAACGATGCCTTATGAGGAACGGCTAAGGGAGCTGGGCATGTTTAGCCTGGAGAAGAGGAGGTTAAGGGGTGATATGATAGCCATGTTCAAATATATAAAAGGATGTCACATAGAGGAGGGAGAAAGGTTGTTTTCTGCTGCGGACACAGAGCAATGGATCCAAACTACAAGAAAGAAGATTCCACCTAAACATTAGGAAGAACTTCCTGACAGTAAGAGCTGTTCAACAGTGGAATTTGCTGCCAAGGAGTGTGGTGGCGTCTCCTTCTTTGGAGGTCTTTAAGCAGAGGCTTGACAAGCATATGTCAGGAGTGCTCTGATGGTGTTTCTTGCTTGGCAGGGGGTTGGACTCGATGGCCCTTGTGGTCTATTCCAACTCTATGATTCTATGATTCTATGAGTTTCTGTGTATGTGCTATGGACTACATTTGGGCTGCTCAAATGTTAAGATGCCTAGTTGTGTGGTGGCACGAATGAACACCCAGGAAAAATCCTGGTTCAAATCTCACTTATCATAGGATCTTTGAGTTTGAAGGGATCCCGAGGGTCATCTAGTCCAACCCCCTGCAATGCAGGATATTTTTTTTTTTTGCCTAAATGGGGCTCGGACCCGTGACCCTGGCATTAGGAGTCTCATCACTCTACCAGCTGAGCTATCCCAGGCACTTCTGGCCTTTGAACTCACTTGCTGGCTTTTCCTAACACAACCTGCTGACATTCAGCCCCTAGTCCTTATGCAACAATTCATTTATTTAATTAAATTCTCACCGGGAGAATGTGCGACCAGAAAGAAGAGGAACATCAAGAAGACTGGAAGAAATTAAAAGACTATTTGAATAAATATTGTAATATTAAAGATATGTAACCACTTGAAAGAAACAACTAGGCCTAGGATTAAAATGGAATTAGATTTATAAATAAGAAAATGTACAATAAGGAAAGCTATGTAATATGATTAGGACTGTGGTATGGTCTTTTGAAACACTGATATTGGAAACTGCTACATATAATTACTAAGAAATTCAGATGGAAGAGATTCGAGGAAGTCAAATACTATGTTTATGAAGATGGACGGTACTTAATTTTAATTAATTAAGCGGTAATATGTTGTATGTATCTTTTTTCTCTTTTTCTCCTATTTTTTGTTTGTCTTTATTATTGTTAATCTTTTCTTTTTTATTATGTTTATCTACTGAAAATAATAAATATTATTGGGATGGATTATTTAAATATTCCTGTTTCTGCATTGTAATGTTTTCATTCTGAAAACGTTTCAGTGAAGGAAAGTCTCTACTTCTATTAATGTTGCATATAGGTAAAAGGTAAAGGTACTCCATCTCCTCAGAGTCTTGCGGAAGAACAATGTCAATCAACATCTGATGATCTCCTTCTACCGGTCCACAATAGAAAGTGTCCTTTCATACTGCATCACAGTGTGGTAGACTGGTTTGACATCATCTGATAGGAAGTGCCTACAGAGGGTGGTGA